TCCCTTGCTTGCCTAAGCGAAATGCTTATCATTATGTTCTGTTCTCCTCCTGCTGAAATGTAAATATGGCGACCGATGTCGACTTAATTTGTCTGTCACGCAATGCTCACTTGACAAGGTTTTGTCACGTGTTGCCAAAAGCTGAATCGAAAGATCCTAAGACGTTCAAAACAAACAATTTTTATTTTAAAGCTATGAGAACATACCTCGCGATAAGGAAAATTTTAAAAGAATCCAAACGTGACCTGTAAAATATCGCAGCGACAGAAATCGCACGAAAACTGCACAGATTGAATGGTTGTCATATTTTACTAGTGCCTATACAGCCGAAATAACGTTTAATTTTATCCCATCTGCAACACAATGAGCACAGAGCACAGAAGTTTCCCCTTCAATTATTTCAACAAGAGAAACAAAAGGGGCGTCCCTTCGTTTTAAACAAGTTCACTTTCCACTACAATCGTGAGTTTTTTCAATGCATATCACACTTTTTGCTACAAATTGTCTCTTTACATTTCCAGTCGTTCTTTTAAAGTTAATTTGTGGTCTTATGTTTCAGCGCCGGAGTTCTGGGAAAAAAATTTTCAGGCAATGATTTTAAACAGAAAAAAAGACTGATGTGATGTAATCCATATGCTACAACTACTCACCATGCACACATTTCTCTCAGTACATAAACTAATTTTTGTAACCTAGCGGTGTAAAGCAAGCTATCGATTACGTGTTTTGTGTCATGCACAACGCGAGAAGTGATAAAACTGATAAATTGTCGAGTATTGAGCGTACAAAGAACCAACAAATATTTCTCTTTTTACGTCGTTTCATTGTTAAAAATATATTTACAAGACGGGGACATTTCATGGCGTGAATTTAATCATTCAGCTTCTTGAGAATATTTGTTCTCTATAATGAGATGAATCCCATAATGGCATGGTCTGTTTTCGTATGGTACTTATGTAGCTCATAACGTTTTGTAGCATTTTTCAGAATTTCTCCTTTGATGGATCAATATTAGTTTTTAGTTGTAAAGTAAAGTTTATCCCGGTTTTTGTACCGTGAAGCGACTAGGGGATACCAGTTCATCGCAGTGTTACCCGAAGTATTAAGTTTGCCGGTACCCATTTATACACCTAGGTGGAGAGAAGCACTGTTAGAGTAAAGTGCCCTGCCCAAGAACACAACACAGTGTCGCTGGCCAGGGCTTAAACCTGGACTGTTAGATCCGGCATGTGGCACCCGCCTCCCATCGATGCTACAATAATTGTATCAAACAAATGCCCAAGCATTGGTGAGCAAGTGGTGGCCATTTCCTTGACGTAAACGATCACCATTGCAAATAACCCATTTGAAACACCCTTAATTTTAGATTTATGGGTTTGTAACTCAATGGAATTCTAATCAGTACGTCAAATTTTAAGTTCTTGGTAAGTGTACAAAAAAAAATGGTGGAAGCAGATTCAGGACCACCTCAAAATTTTGGAAAACCTATTGTGGCTGTGAATCCGCTTTGATAATCTTTATCGATTCTCGCAGTGAAATCAGTTCCATCGTGAAACTTTTTTTTCTCAAGACCTGAAGTATTGGTCAAGCGGAGTCGCTAGTAGACGTGGCCTGCATTCACTTTGGTCGAGATCAATATTTACAGACAAGTCTGCGGAAGTTTTTCTTCCTTTGGCCACCCATCGGCAGCCAACACAAATTGATNCCCACGTCATTTGTTACGGGACTGCAGCTAGCTTGCACTAGCAAGCAAACGTGAAGTCCGTTTGCCCTTTCAACGCATGTCTGTATGGAAAATCAACTTTCAATTACTTGGGACAACTTTCGCCTAAAATTTCCGAAACGTTGCGCTTCTGTAGCTCGCTACTATTTTCTGACTAATAAACTTGCCGGGAATTTCATTCATAGTTAAAAATATTGTGATTATATAACAAAATAGGTACATATAATGACAGTATACAATACATCATTTGGCATTGATCTCTCACATGAAATAGCTAGGTACAAGACGTCACACAACTCCAAAACCCCCTCCTGGGAGTGAAGTCGATACCCAATTTTGAGACCTATAAAATCAGTAAACGGTTCTAATATATGACCGCCGCAAACCAGAAAAAGTCCCCATCTAGGTAAACATTTAAAAAGGGCTACAAATTTGCCGACGTTAAAGCGGAAATAATCCGTTCCTTGTCAACAAAATACTCAATGTCAAGCCAGAGTGAAAAAGACACCCTATTTCAGACCAATGTGCTCAAAATGTACACCTTTTTCAGACAAAAACAGCTGAAAAATCATGTCCGGCTGAAAATCAAGGCCTTTGGGGCCGCGCATACCTCTGATAGCCCATATAGGGGAGTAATCCCAACCCCTCCAGCTCCCGAGCCCAAAGCACAGTTTCTCTTTGAACGTCTCATTAGATCTTTCTATTCATTATTCTTTCAACCATTTTTGGCAACGCGTGACAAAATTCTATCAAGTGACCATTGCGCGACAGAAAAATAAATTTGACATCGTTCGCTATATTTACATTTCAGCATGCAGAGTGAGCGGGGGGAACAGAACAAAGGAATATAGGTATAGGTGGTTCTGCTTTAGCAGCCAAGAGACTGACGCTGGAAGGCATCGCTACTTTTATGGATTGCTGTTTAAAAACAAGGGATATGAATGTGGTGGATTATCTCGGAGTAATCGATTGAATCTCAATAAGAAGGTGATGCACTTTGCCGAACTCCACGCGTCGCAATGGTCATCGTGTTGGATTCTGACCACACCAGTACTTAATATTTGAATTACTATCTTACACAGAAGGTGAGCTAAACATGACTTTTCAGCCACAGTTTACTTAAATACAAATACTGAGGAAATCAAATGCAAGAAGGCATTTTTACGTTCCTTTTGATTATCTGGTCACAGGTACTTGCCTATTGTTTTCGTTTCTAGCAGGCTGGTGTTGTGATTATCACGATTTTGAGAGCGTTAGTAATCAGCGCTGATCAAAGGCCCGAAAATAATTATTATACCAGGTTTTACACTGACATTTGTTCTTTCGAAATGTCAGATTTTTAGGTGTTTTGGTGTTTTACCGGGTAGTGAATTTGCCAATCGAAAAAGTGTGCATAATTGAGAATTTTGAGGAAGCGAATTTTAGTGATTTTAAGCTGGTCGTCGTGACCTCGAAAATTAACCTACAGAAGTATAATTGGCCTCAAAAGACTTGTAAACCTCTCAACAATAAATTTCCAGGCTCAAACTGGAGTGTTGCTGCGATGCGGATTGAACAGAGCGAAGTTCTGTTTTTGACCAGACGTGGGACGGTAACGAATTTGTGATTTTTTGGCGGGTTTTAAACAAACATTTCAAGAAGAAATCCCACCACGTTTCTAGGCTTACCATAGGTTATCTCTGGGGGGAATATGAAAAATTTTGATTTTTCATCATGTGCTACGACTGGCTCTACGTTAGTTGACATTCCCTCTTGGGCCTAGTTCAGACGTCGTGCTTCTGCCGTGCCTAACTAAATTGCAATTTGGTTCGACTGTAGCACGGCAGGAAATCAACTCTGATTCAGACGTCGTGCCAGAGTCGAATCAAATTCAGGGTTTACTGAAGCCTCGTAAAAATTCTCCTCCTAACTCCCGGAGGAAACGCAATCTCGCCAAAACACATTAATATAATTTATGAATTTAGTTTGGCGCGACAGAAGCACGACGTTTGAATCGCTGTCGTACCAGAGTCGTGTAGCACGGCAGAACTTGTCGAACTTAATTGCTTGCCAGTTCTCCTAAATTACCAAATTAAGTTATAGGTCCACGTTGTTAGACAAGCGTGAGGTCAAGATGGCTTGATACT